GCAAAATTTATGCAAAATCTTATGCGTGAAAAGAAGAAAACACTTGCTCTAGCCTTCAACTCGACATTTAGATATATCGACGACGTATTGTCAATTAATAATGGTAATTTCCATTCCTACGTCGATACGATATATCCTGGTGAGCTTGAGATAAAAGATACCACAGAGTTCGGCACTTCTGTTTCATGCTTGCATATTTTACTTGAAAAAGACACTAATGGTAATCTAACAACCAAGCTATATGATAAACGTGATGACTTTAACTTTTCCATCGTCAAATTCCCCTACTTATGCAGCAATATACCTTCATCACCTGCATACAGAGTATATATATATATCTCAGTTGATTCGATACGCAAGAGCATGCTCTACGTATGAACAATCTCTAAAACGAGGTAAATTATTGAAAAGCAAGTTGACGAAACAAGAATATCAGCAGTCTCGTTTAAAGTCATCATTTCGTAAGTTCTATGGTCGATACAATGACCTTGTCAGCAAACACAAATTATCATTGAGTCAAATGCTGACTGACGTTTTTCATTCTAATAGTTAGTCCTTTCTTTATACACTGAATTGACGACGGGTTTTTCCCGTTATTTCCTGTTCATGACAAGGAGTACACGGCGGGTGTGACCGATTGGCAGGGGATACTCACACCTCCATGGCACCTGATCCCACCTCTGAAGTTTCGGGGTTCCGAGATACTAACTCGTTATAACGAGATAATATTTTTTTATCTTCTCAGAAATGAGCCTATCCGGCTTTTGTACTTAACAGTTTATCCTCAAAACATCGTTTCTAACTTTGTTATTTACCGAGATACTTTATATATTTGTGACCCACTTTCTCTCGTTTTGCGTACACGTGTAATTTGAATTACTTCCCTTTTTGTCGCCAGATTACAACGACAGATTTTGGTAGCACTTTATATTTATTCGTTGTAACATTTAATTAACAAAACACACAGAATATTGAAATAGTCGAATTATTAAAAATATTAATTTTAAACCAAAGATTTTGAGAAGAATTCGGTCTGCAACAAAACATGCTTTATTTTATGTAATTCAATTCTTTAAATAAGGGTTCGTTTTACAGTGTCGTAGAAAAACGCAAAGGTATTACACTCAAGTAACATCCTGTGTATATAGGTAGTATACACAGCGTCCCTCCATTGGGGCTTTTCAGTCGCATCGTTTAAACTCCACCCCACACCAAACTTACCTGAGTAAAACCGACCGGTTGAAAACCTCGGCCTTTAATCTTAATTTTTCCTAACCATAATTCCATGGATTTTACAATACTCGATCAAAGTTTCAAAGGTTTAACTAAAGTAAATCAACTGTAAAGTTTCATTTTTTTCACTATAGTTAATCAAACTTCACAAAATTTATTAGTAATTCCAAGTTCCAATTTTTTTACTGCAGTAAATAAAAGTGACAAATTTTCACTTTAACACTGTACTTTAGATAATTAGTGTTTTTTATGTTATGGTAACTGCTGCATTTTCTTATTTTAACATTACTCTGTGAACGACTTGTAAAAGGAGGAAAATGGATTAGGGTTATTACTGCATGACACGCATGCTAAAAGTGATCCGATTTTACTATTTTGTGTCAAGGGATTTCTTGGTCAGTAACTTGTTTTAACTTTTACTTGTCATTGATAAAATATTTTACGTCTAAATTGAAAGCAACCCCCCCCCCCCCAAAAAAAAATAGTCGTTCTAAAAGGTAATTGAAATATTTAAACATTACACAATTCTCTGAAAACGACCTTAGAATCATGAAATATATCCAAACAGCCAATGACTTTATGATCTGGAACGCGGACGGAACTGCTTCAAGTGTTTTATATAATGTGTTTCCAAGTTATGTAGGAATTAAGAATTGAAATATTTCATTGAATTCAAATTTTTAACGACAATGACGTTATTTTTCTGTCTATTTATATTTTATATGATATCTCCAGTGGATACTAATTGGACATTCCATGGGTAAATGTTTGGGCGTTACGTTTTTTTAGAATCTTCAAGCTAATAAGATCCGTTTTCATTTCATGTTTATTCGATGTTTACCTACAGATTGGCCTTAGCCTGTACTGCAAAATATATATTTAGCATTGCATGTCTAAGAAATATGTATGCTACTTCTGCTGTTCTCATTTACGACAAGTTCGGAATAAAGATAATATATATAAAAATATTTTACATTACAGAGAAAAGTCCCATAGATGGTGTGGTTCTAATTCCAGATGGGATGACGTCTACAAAAGATGCATCGGTGATGACTTATTTTATTTGAATCAAATATCTCTACATTGTGGCAGTAATAACCTTTTCTAGTTCATTCATATATTAGTTTATTTTATAGGCTTTCATATATGGAGTATATTATCACAATAAGCTTGCTTTTAAAATTTTTCCGTGAAGAATATTCCTTTTACATCCAACAGAGTGTAGTCCAGGTTACTTTGGAACGAACTGCTCTATAGCGTGTCCTTATCCTAGCTACGGCAAAATCTGCCGGAAAAAATGTGAGTGCAAGAAAACATCATGTGCCCTTGATGTTGGATGTATCATCAATAAAGGTAAAAATAAAAATCAAGTACGGTTTAGGATAATTAACTTAATTATTGTTTCAATGGTGCATGCATGTATGATATTTCTCAAAATTTCTTTGCAAAGGTTTTTTTTTATTTCATTTTACTCATAAAACATCATTATATTTTATAGAAGTAAAGACACGTAGGATGATAACGTCATTCATGCATAAGACAAAAGACTATACTCATCCTGTATTAAACACAGGTATTCCAAAATTAACAATATGGTTATCGTAAATACATGTTTGTTATGAATCTTGGATTTCTAAATTGTATTACTAAGACTATGCATATAATTATTTTCTTTTTCATACCATTTAGAAAACAGGTTTAAATTATTGACAACATGGATGTCCAAGAGAAATCAAAGAATCAGAACATCAACTTCCGGCATGACTAAACAGCGAATTGGAGAACCACGATTCAAAGAAAATTTTTCTGAGGAGAGTCTTGGTCATTTCATAAAATCATATATTTCTCAAGAGAACAAAACTGGCCGTACTCTGTCTATCATCACACTTGTATGTGTGCTGGCTATCCTGATTCTTCTTGTGCTGGCCTTTGCTTTGATTTTGGTGAAAAGAGGATCACAAATTTGCAAAATATTCAAAGACAAGCAGCCTGTGGTGTCATCGGAGTCTGATCACTGCCTCAATAACCCTCTGTACAACACCCAATAAGGAATTTAGATGTTCTGAGTACTGAATCTGCCAGAACAATCTTGAAGCGAGATTCATCATATATTTAAAAGAAATGTTGTTTTACTTGGACTTGCATCTACATAAGACAAAGTAGCAAATAAAGTTTGTTACAAAGTTAAAAAATTTCAATTAAAAAAAAACTGATTCTGTATTGCTGTGTAAGTAGTGGAAAAGTGTACATGCTTTTTATCATTAAACGACAAAGATAAAAAAAAATTGAATTGACATTTTACTGGAATTTTATATATTGCGTATACTTGATAAATTTTGATGGGTGTTGCGTAAAATGTACTTATAGAGGTGCATATGAACGTGATGTACGTAATTGTTTTTAATATATCATAAAAACACAAAAAAAAATCTTTATTACTTCTTTTAAAGACAAATATGTAGTCAAATAACGCATTAAAAATGCAAAAGGGAAATTAAAGATAAGGAAATCAAAATTATGACGAATATGCTATATCCTGAACACTATTTTTAAAGCTGGAGAGAGCCTACATTTGAAGGAGGTATACATCCACACTTAGTCAACTTTTCAAATACAAAATATGTTGAATGTTTTTTTTTTCTTTTTTTTTTTTAGGAACACATCATATGATACCCAGTTAAAATAAATGATGTTTTATTTCCTTTCAGAAAAAAGAAAATACGTATATCATTGCACTTTAAATCCATAAGCATTAATTCTTTCATAAAATATGATGAAATAAAGTACTCTTCTTTCATTTGCTTGCTTACTTTTACTCTTATTTAGTTTTCATTAAAATTGAAAGACAGTAGGTCTTTTTAAGGTTCTCATTGATGTGCATGCGAGAAACTAAGACCATTCTGTTCTTACATCGCCTTTTTTTGTCTTTCGCTAAGGGCAATAATTTTTTTTTTTAGGCTGTTTCATGTTTCAAGAATGGTATCCGATAATTGATCATATATTTCACTTTCATTCCTCATACTTTATTTCCCCTTTCAATTGCCCAAAACAGCCCAATATAGTTTTGGAGATTTTTCATATTCTTACACTGATAAACTATTGAAGCAAGATGTAACCGATTTTAGTTTTTGAAACATATACTTAATATCATATTGTGCATGATTTAGAATCTGTTTAGAAAAACGGTTTATTAAACTTGTCCATCCTTTTTCTTAGAGATCTACATCAGAGAAGTTTTTCAGCGAAAAATCTTCCCCACTTATTTAAGAAGGAATATATTCAGTAATTTTGTCATAAAAATCAAAAAGAAAAATACTGGTCATGTTTCAACTGCAGAAAGGTACAATTTTGAACATCATAGACATATCAAAATTCTTTAATTTTTTGGCAATTTGTTAGTTGCATCATTCCCCCCCCCCCAAAAAAAAAACTAGATCCAGAGATATATACAGAATCAGGTCTTCCATTTTTGATTGTTTGTGTCGTCATGTAACACAACCTGTTGAGCCAGTGTCATGAATAACACAAATTTTAAAAATTTACCCTCAATCATCTCAGTTCTGGGGCCCCAAAAATGATAAAATTAAGGTCCATATTGACTAAATATAGTAATTTTTATTGATAGTCTTACATTTTGAACACGTTATGCAATTATTTATTGATTCTCCAATATTCTAAGAATTGACATGTTATACAATTTAATAATTGTAATACTCAAATCTAAATGCATTGCAGATATAGAAAACTAATTTTCCATATAGAAAAATAACATAACGGTCCTTTTTATTTCCACTCTTCTGAAATAAACACCGCTTCGTTTCAGTCTTTGTTGTCCTTACAAGGTTTGGATGGAGGTGGTGAAGCCGGTGGCTTTGGAGGTCTAGTAGGAGGGTTTCCAACTGGTAATTAAAAAAGAGAGGTAAACATTAGAGAAACATGCAGTAAAGACAAACAAAAGGCTTAATTCACTTTTACTTAAAATGGCCCATAAATTTAATACCTGTATAAAGTTAAACATTTCTGATACGTATTCCTTTAAGAAGTTTTAAAGAGTGTTCATTTGACTACAGAAACTTTTTCTCCATAACTGATGTAAAGAAATCATGGAAGTGATATGTATAACATCAGTACATGTAAGATGACAAAAGACAGGAACACATGGAATTATCAAATGCTAAACAAGGCACGTCCAATTTTCTGTAATGATTCACATCTACTCTCACCGTAAGAGTAGTTGATAAGTCAATGCTAGTAAGCCTTTAAAAATGAAATGTAGACGTATTTATGCAGAAGAAATTCTGATGATTCAGCATGGTTCAAAATTAAAAAGAAAAAAAAATGTAATACTTCATTCAATGATTTTAACTTGTTCATTTTACAGCATTTGATACATTATTAACATATTCATGATTCATTTGTATGTTTATTGTAGTGTTGTCATTATAACAGAACCCATTGCTTAAAATTGACAACCCCTACCCCTGCATCTCAAAATTATGTTTATATTCAGTCCAGAAATAGGATAGTAAGAGAAATATAGTGAAGCAAGTAAGAAATTGCTTTTTTTCTTTCTTTTAGCTAGGTTATATAAACTCCATTAACTTCAAATCTGCTTTTAACTATATCACTTACATTCTAACTTAAAAATTATGTATACTTACATTTTGGGTCATTCATTGTAGATTAAACTCCGCTGAGTTTGAGCTTGAAAAATTAATGAGAACCTTAAAAGAAAGAAAAGAAATGACAATTATTATGTCAATTATTATAACAATTACTATATCAACTATTAAATCAATTAAAGTGTTACATTTCATATCCAAAACATTAAAGCAATTTCCAAAAGCATTGTATTCTGCAAGTGTGAAAACGATATTGCACTAATGGCAGAAGTTGCGTCAATTTGAGCAATAAGGTATCATTTTCAAATACATTGGAAAGGGGTTACCATTTGCTTAAAAAGAACTTGTACTCTACACTGCCCCGTCAGGTACATATAAGAGTTTCAGTCTATGAGACCTACAGTCAATAGACCGTTATATGGCCACCCATTATGGATGGTTAAAGGCTTCTGATTCTACTATTATTTCATTATCCAAATTTTGTCTTATGCTCGGCACCAAAAGTTATTGAGCAATAAGAGTTCTTTTTCGTTTCAGCAACCAATGCAACATGGGACCTCAGTTTATAGGGCCTCGTCCGAAGGACCCATCTCAGCGTCCCAAAAATAGTTTTTTTAAGGTTTCTTCAAAGGTCACGCGTCTAAAAAATATTTTTGCAATAGCTCGAAAACCATGTCTGGTATAATGTCAATACGTTTACAGTTTATAAATACATCATTGCTTAATAGACAGAAAGTGTCACTTGATAACAAATATTTTAAAAGAGATTTTTTTTTTGGAGAAAAACTGTATCAGAAAATGTGCATATTTAAAAAAATGCACCTGCTTTATTCTGTCCTTTATGTAAAACCATCATTGCAGAAATAATATATGTTTATCATTGAATGCCAAGTTGGACGTGAATGGTCTCTGAGAGGCTGTTATTGAAAGCATGTCATGAATAAAGACAAGACCCCTTTAGAAACTGCCATTTGCAATGTACTTTCACTTTCAAGTCTTAACATTTGGACAAAATTAACAGGGAAAACAACTTTCCATAGACTATCTAAGTCCAACTTGCCCTTCATTGATAAGCATATTTTGTTTCTGCAATAATGGTTTTCACTAAGAGCACGGAATTAATTAGGTATATTTTTTGAAAATATATGAATCTTTAAGAAGGATTTTTCTCAATTACTATTTCATCCAAGTATTTTTTTTTCTATTAAGTAATACTTTCTATCTGTTAATCAATGAAAAATTGATAAACTGTTAAAGGTTTAAACTTATACCTCATATAGTTTTGGGGCTAAATCAAAAATAAATTTTTGAACATGTTGACCTTTGACGAAACCTTAATGGAAATAAGCAGTGCATGATTACGTGCGATGCCGTAGACTTAAATTGTGCAAAGATTAAAGTATGTTGAGCTGTTGTAATGTTATAAAATAATTTTACATTATAAAGTAATGTATCACAAAAAAAACCGGTAGTCTGTGTCGAAATGCCTTTATTTTAATAATTTTTCTCGCTCAAGACGGTCGGTTTTGGTTAACCTTTATATTCTCCAAACAGAAAGATAGCATTCATTTTTATCTCTTAGAAATTAAAAACCACAATCCCGTTTTATTTTTAAAATTTGATCAATCAGAAAATATTGCGTTCATGATCTTGTAACAAACTAACAGCAGAACTATAGCTCTCTGCTTGAAAAAAATCGGACAGATAGAGCAGATATGAACACATTCATTCATGCAGTTTTTTGTCACTCACTTGAGGTATTATTTATTATATTTCATGTGAATGAAAAAAATGCCATTAACTTTTAAGCTTTTACTAACTTAAAGTAACTTTGTCATTTAAAACTCCACCCTCACCCACTAAAGAAACCAATAGGTGTCAGGTAGAAATAAAAATAAATTATATTCTTTCTACTGGTAGCTGGACCTTCCAGTGGCCAGCAGATAATTGTTTGTCTATCTGTCACCTGCCAGCTTTCATAACCGCTAATCCCCAAATAATCACCACCAAAAATTTAGTAACTGTCCTTGTGTTAATTCATGCATGTAAATAATAGGTCATTTAAACAGGCTGCTCTTAATATAAGTAAATGTAAAGGTAAATAAAACATTAAATGCTGAAATTTACAAAAAAAGCAATGCACTTGGCATAGAATATATGTAAAAGGTTATAACCATACACACGGATGATTGTTCGTGTGTCATAAATTGACATAATTATCACTCTGAACTAAAGGCCCCAACACTACTGTGTTATATACATCATATACACAGGTATTGTGCCCTTAGGATACATACATGTTGACTTCAATTATCAACATGCTTTACTTGCCCTGTTAACGCTAATGGTCAGTCAGAAATATTTTTAAAAAAAATGTATTATCTACTTTAAACCCTCTTAATATTTAATTTTAAGTTAAACAATTAAATTATTCTACCGTACATAACTCTGAATGTGATAAAAATGACAGCATTTTAAAATCAGCACATATTATGTGTGCGTTCATTGTATGTCTCCCGTTGATCTTCATTTACCTGTAGAAGGTGAAATGATCCTTTCGTTGAGATATATTTGATAAACTTCTGACGGTTCTTAACTATTCATAATACTCCCAGCAAACAAACAATAAATACATGTCCTGGAATCAAAACACAATTTTGCATAATTGGAACAATATAAATAATATAAATACTCACACCCTATTAAAATTTGTTACCCACCTTTTCGGGACCAATGGTTATTTTTGATAAGGGTGAGTCTAATAGCCGAAACGAATGGTGTTAGGGTTCTCATAAAAACCCAAAAAATCCACCAAATAGTGACAATAAAACAGCGATGTAACTATCAATTGTTTCAGTGAAATAGAGACTATAATCGAGGTGATTTACAAAAATTTTCTTATCTGTTAAAAATCGATGAAATTCGACAGCAATAAAAATTTCAACATTCCTTAAAGCAATTGTTTGTTTCATAAGAAAATAAATTAGAATCAAACATAAGTATTAACTGTTACATGTATCAATAATATATATGAACTTAAAAATATAAAACACAAACTGTGTAACGTGCGCCTTTGTGATATGAATAAGATTTGATATTTTTAAAAGAATTTAATTAATTTATTTCTATATTAGCGATGAAATATTTCTGTTTATTTCTATCTATGGTATAAAAGTAAACTATATTCCTTCCCTGTATATGAGAAAAAATTAAAATTAAAGTTGAACCTTGAAAAAAAGGTTCACAATGCAATTGACCCCATGCTTCTATGACTTATAGTTTTTATGTTATAAGGTTTAATCCAATGACGTTATTTCACTGAATACAGTATATAAAAAATATGATTAATATTCCCAATAGAAATATACATTGCCATACCTTTTTAAGAGTACTTATTAATGATGCAAAGATATTAAGTATATGTTTAAAGACAAAAGAGATATAAGAAAATATAATTTCTCAAATTTCGAATGACCTTGACCTTCATTAATTTTAGTATAATCACTTCTCGTTTCAAAAATTTTTAATTATTTGTAAAATATAAAAGGTTTCAGGGGCAATATATATGAACTTAAAATATAAAACAAAAACTGTGTAGCGTGCGCCTTTATGATAACTCATTGAAGGAGTTACTTTCGCAATGATTCCAGAGTCCTCTCAATTAGTCGAAGACTTTAGTGAAGGTTTCATATTTCTATGGTTTACAGTTTCGAAGGTGTAGCGATAACAAGGTTTTTTGTACAAAGGGCGATAACTTTTAATAGGGTCAATCTTTACAAATTAAATCTTTAAAATAGTTTTATACATATTAATGATGCTAAGACAGTTTGTATATGTTAAAAGACAAAAAAGATATAAAAAGAACTTAATTTCTCAAAAATGGCCTTGACCTTTGACCTTTGCATCATGATATAACAAAGTTGGTCCCATGTCTCTATCACTTCTTGTTTTGAAAATTTTTAATTATGTTTAATCTGGTTCAAATATATCGTACATGCATGTAAATGGGATACTAAAAATTCAAAAAAAAATTGCACATTATTAATTGTTACTTTGTTGTATTTTAAATTTTTTATGTTTAATCTATATATCGTACATGCATGTAAAGAAAGAAACCATTTCACACATTTTATTCTTCTTGCAGTTTAGTCATGGAAATTGTTTTTTTTTTAAGTTTGATAAAAACTTCAACCCCAAATGAAAAAAAAAATCTTCATCACTTATATTAAAAAAAAAGCTTCAAAAAATAAATACGCTTACAATGATTACGCAGGTACTATAAGGCTTCCCAGAGAATATTGTAGTGTACGCTGTGGATGCACTTCTCAGAACTACAAATGTATGACGTCATGATTGAAAATGACGTCAAGTCACTGCATTTGTGAGCTGTAAAGCTGGGGAGAGTGTCATAAACTTTACGCGTTATTTCAATCTACATATAAAGATGCAGAATGCTAGTTTAAGATAAACGTGTTTTTATATTTTTTTTTCAAAAAATTAATATAACCTAAAAATTTAGATAACTGTATTTTATTACTCTTATTTAAGAGTCAGCGTGATCAAACTACGTACGATAATATACGTTTTGACATTTACCCTTTTTTTTAAACCCGTGGACAGAGACAGAATTCATAATGTATGTATAAAAGAGCCTGGCGCATGTGATTAATGAGGATTTATTTAATACCTTTTGTGAAAATATGTAAGAGGAGTTTCCCCTCTAATTGAATCCTGCTTGGGAAAAATGTATGATGGCTTTGTTTTAAAACAGATGACGAAATTCAGCAAAAATACCCTCAGATTTGTCGGTTAGTTGAAGTTAATGTGAAATGAATTTACCAAGGAAATAGTATATCTTTTTCCAAGCACATTTTGGGTTCACAAGGATCAAATGAGTTTATTTATGTGACAAAAAGTTAATAATAATTGTGTTAATAACCTGCGCCGAAGAAATTTATGTGAAACATTCCAAAAAAGAAGAAATGACGTCACGTGATCAACAAGGTCATGTGATATCGTAACAAATATGTTTATATATAGCCTAGAGAACTCTCTATATGAATAGGGCGTACTTAAGTACATTACTTATAATAAAATTAAAATCAACTTTGCAATGCAGTGTTACGTTTTATATGCATTTTTAGCTCCGGGAAGCCTTAACAGTACTGCGTAAAAATCATTTAAGGGAAAAAAAAGTATGGACTTATTCTCATATCTTGGTAAAATCAAAGGTGTTATTACTGAAATATAAGATTATCTCTCTTTTTCAAAATTCGTTTATTTCTCATTAGGTCACCTGAGTAACTCAGGTGACCTATTACTAACCGTTTTCGTCCGTCGTCGTCCGTCATGTGTCGTGCGTCGTGTGTCGTGTGTTAACATTTGAACATTTTCAGCTTCTTCTATGAAACCAAGGAACTAATTTCAACAAAATTTGGTATACAGCATCTATGGGTGAAGGGGACCAAAAATTGTGAATTTTATGGTCCATTGCCCCTTGGGCCTGAGAGGTGAGGCCAAAACTACCAAAATTATTGCAATCTTCAAAAATCTTCTTCTCTACTCCTGGACATCAAGCAGGCAGACTGTTGGCATGAATGTAATGAGCATAGAGTCCTCTACCAAAATTGTGAATTTTATGGCCCCAGGGACAGGGGGTCTGTTGTTAGGGCCGGGCTCTATTGAATATACAGTAAAACTCGGTTATAACGAAGTCGCTGGGACGTATGAAATCACTTCGCTATATCCGTAATTCGTTATAACCGGCCGGGCTCTATTGAAATTCGCTATATATTTTGCTATATAGTGAAAATGCATTTTTTCTTTGAAAACCTTCTTCTCTGCTCCTGGCTATTAAGTAAACTGACTAATCACTTAGTTATAATGAGCAAGAGTGCCAGTTCTAAAATTGTGAATTTTATGGCCCAAGGGTCAGGGGTTCTGTTGTTAGGGTGGGACTCTATAATTGAACATATAGTGAACATGCATTAATTCTTTGAAAACCTTCTACTCTGCTCCTGGGTATTTAATAAACTAACTAAATACAAAGTTATGATTAGAAAGAATGCGACTTCCAAAATTATGAACTTTATGGTCCCAGGGTCAGGGGTTCTGGTATTAGAGCGGGGCTCTATTGATTATATAGTGAAAATGCATTAATTCATTGAAATCTACTTCTTTCCTCCTGGGTTTTATGCCAATGATCCAAGTATATATATTTATGATGAAGAAAGGTGCATCTAGCAAATTGGCTATTTTTTTTATGCCCTCTGGATCGGGGGAGGGGGGGAGAGGTTACATAGTCTGAAAATAAATTAATGCTTTGAAATCTGCTTGATAAACCATACTATGATAAAACTTGGAAAATGTGTGGCCCCATGGTCAGTGGTTCCTTTGGGGTGAGGTGAATAACTGGTTATAAAGTGGAAGTGCATTTTCTATTTGTTACTCTGATCTACCTCTTGGTATTAAGTAAATAGAGTAAGCCTGTTAAGTTTATAATTATGATAGGAATGGTGTCTCTTTCAAAATTGTGAATTTTGAATTTTATGGCCTCTGATTTAAAACACCAACCAATTTTAATTGTTTGAAAGTTATTACACGATACTCAGGTGACCTATAAGGCCCGTGGGCCTCTTGTCTTTATATTATGTTTCCCCTTAAGATAAATAGCTGATTCTCAATCTCAGCTTCAAACAAGTGGGTCACCACTGTTCTCAAAGAGTGTTTCGTATAGTGTTCTTTAAATCCTGATTGTTCACAAAGATTTTCGATATTTTTTGTGAAAACTTGAACACCAACTTCAGAATCTGCAAACCTGCAGCTAGGATTCTACGTTAGAGTATTTACTACTCTTTGGCCTGTATTTTGGAGAAATATGTATTACTTTCACCATCCGATGAGGACATCTTCACTAATGAAGCTTTACATGGGAAGTAGTCAGAAATCAACTGAGCTATCATTTAAATCTAAATTTGCCTGGCACTTTCTGTTAAGTTAAACAATATAGTTATATATATTCATCCCTTTTGTTTTCACCCCTCACTCTCAAGACAATCAAGTGTTACGTAATCAAAGCATATACATACATGTAACTTCAGTTTATTAAGTTAACAATAGAGAAAATGTTTTGAGTAGGATAAAGTCTTCAAACTGTCCATTTACCCTCCGCGGGATGTGACTGGACGTCAGTGTCGCGCAGTGTTAACGATCGAAGCTTCGTGTTTATAAATCATACAGCAGTCCACCATAAAGAGATTGAAAAAAGTGAAAACACAACACTAAAATGGGGATAAAGGCCTCGAACAGTTCTTTCCCTCACACTTAAAACTGAGTGTTATTATTTTCTATTACATAGAGAAACTAATGTTAATCAAATAACGTGTCAGTAGAAATAATCATGACTGAAAAATTATACTCGGCAAAATAAACCCCAAAAAATTCAAAGTCCCAATAATTAGGAAAAAACGCCTTCAGAGTATACTATGGGAATCGGCCTTGTTCTATAATTATAAAATCTAATTAATGTTTTTTTTTTCTGGTAGAAAATAAGCACTTCACTTTTTTAATTTTTTCTATATGAAAAATAAAATTATTGAAAAATATCACTTATTTTGATGAAAGAAAAATATACCACATAATGTGA